ATTGTTGTTTGGCGGGTCCGGGCTGGGGATTCGAACCCGCCACCTTAGGTGTACGTGGCTGGCGCCTTAGCCGGTTGAGCTATAGGCGCTGGGCCAAGCCTTCTTTTTTTTGAGACAGAGTCTCAAGCTGTCGCCCTGGGTAGAATGCCATAGCATCACAGCTCACAGCAACCTCAAACTATTGGGCTTAAGCGATTCTCTTGCCTCAGCCTCTCAAGTAGCTGGGACTACAGGTGCCCACTACAACGGCCAGCTATTTTTTTGTTGTTGCAGTTGTCATTGTTTAGCTGGCCTGGGCTGGGTTCAAACCCGCCAGCCTTGGTGTATGTGGCCAGCGCCTACCCACTGAGCTCTAGGCGCCACCTGAATTCTAGCATATTTTCAAGATAAATCTTTAAGGTGGCAACTAAAACCTTGGACTGATCTGTGGATTTGAGAATCAGTGACCTGACTTAAAACCAATACTGCTCCCAAAGCCAGACTGTTGGAGGGGGACAAAATTCACAACCCAGCTCAGACCATCACAGAAAGCTTTTATTACCACAGAGGAGCTTGGGAATCAGGAAATGGAGGCCACGCACATCAGCTTGTTAGTGTGGGTGAACAGGGAGGGGGACAGCAGGCAGGAACACTGTGTCATCGTCAATCATGTCTGCACAGTCTCCCAACCAGCAGATTTGCTCAGCTCAGGAGAGGCTTCTGGGGGGTGTTGTGTGTGTGGCACAGGAAGCCTCAAGTGGGCTGCTTCCTGCACAAGAGACAGCCAGAACCAACGAAACCTACAGACACCAACTTAAAATGGAAATCAAACTGGGCTCATTACACCAGGAAGTACATTGCACCCTGACTGTAAAACAGGAGGGGAAGGGAGCACTGGGCTCTACAGGATAGCCTCTCTTTTAGATAAGATGCTTTTAAAAGTTAAACAATGGCAGGGCCTTTCCCCTTACTAACAGCAACCAGCACGCAATTTCCAAGTCACCCTTTAAAGCTATTGTTATCTTTGTTATCTGTTATTATTTGGATTTTGAACAAAATTAATGGAGTAGGAGCCAGTGGAGGAATCCTGTTTGATCTGGAAATTTTCTGTGGAGAGCCCAAACGGTCGGAGAACCAAGTTCCCAAGATCTTTTAGTTTACCTGCAATGTAAAAGCAAAAACTCAAATGAATAAGAACAGAAGCAGAAAAACACTAATTAATCTTGCCTTATTATCTTACCAATTACAAAATGTAAAAAGTATCTCTGCACTTAAAGAAATGCCCACCTTTAGTAAGATGAAACCTTCCAGGAAGTCCAGACCCCCAACTCTACTCAGCAGTGCAGTCACTTCAATGCCACCCCCTCAATCCTCCAGCATGTGCCCGCAGAGATGAGAGGGAGGGAAGGAGCCAGGAGGACTGGCTCTCTCTGGGAGGTGAAAGCCCTGTGTCTATGCTGGCCAGGACTACTGAAGGACACAGGCTCCTGGGACTAGTGCTGCAAAAATCAACCACTGCTCCCTGTGGGGCTCCTCACAGCTGCCAAGCCTGGTCTGGTCTGCAGGCAGGGAAGGTAGAGGGCCTTTCCACCTGTCTGTTCTGAAACAGCAGCAGCCATTGCTAAATTTAACTTAACCCACCAAATTTCTTCTGAGCCTGGATTCAGACTTAAGGGCCTCCTGCTTTTCTAAACAAACTTAACATTTCTTGGGAAACGGGTTCTTATTCATTAGTGCAGAGCACTGTAAACCTCAATAGTCCTCTTTCCAAGTTTCAGGTTTTACTTATTAATCACTTGGGTAATTCTCATGTCCTAAAGTCAAAATCGAAACACATGGTATATACTAAGGCGTCTTGTGCTATTTTTAGATACAAGATAACCACTAAGTTTGTGTATCAAAAATTATTATTTCCAGGGCATTTCAGAGATTTTCAGGGATTTATAGGGCAATGGGATAAAATATTTGAAATCAGGAGTGCTCTGGGAAATCTTGGGATAGGTGAATAAAAAGCTTCAACCCTTTCTAAACGGCTTAAATTTTTCTTACAGGTCTGCTTCCAGTGGAGATGAGAATGAGGGTAGACGGGAAGAGAAACTCCTAATCCCGAGAGGTACAGGCTCCTTCCCACCTTACTACTTGTTAGCAACTTTTGTCACTCTGAGTTAAAGTGACAAAAAGGGCTTTATTCTAAGGTGGCCTCCTATCGTAAAGTCCAGGTAAAGAACTTAAAAGATTACATGGCCTTCACATTTTATTGAAGATTAAAAAAAAACTATTGAATTTTTAGAGATGGAAATCTTGCTTTGTCATGCAGGCTGAAGTGCAGTAGTGCGATCATAAGCTCATTGAGCCTCACACTCCTGGGCATGCACATCACCATGCCTGGTGTATATATATAACATTTATGTATTTATTTATAATTTTTAATATCTATATAAATAATGTTTTAGAGACAGTGTCTGGATCACTATGTGGTCCAGGCTCTCTCAGCTTCCCAAAGTGCTAGGATTACAGGCTTGAGCCACTGTATCTGGTTGTGGCCTTTATAATGTAAAGGCCTTCCTATTAACTCATGGTGAGAACTTTTAGTCTGTCTTAAGATCTAGCCTACAGAAGCTTACTATGTTTATAGAGAAAGGCCAACCTATTCTTGCAGAAAATAGGCCAACCTATTCTTTTTTTTTTTTTTTTTTTTTTGAGACAGAGCCTCAAGCTGTCCCCCTGGGCAGAGTGCCGTGGCATTACAGCTCACAGCAACCTCCAACTCCTGGGCTCAAGCGAGTCTCCTGCCTCAGCCTCCCAAGTAGCTGGGACCACAGGCGCCCAACACAAAGCCCAGCTATTTTTTGGTTGCAGCCGTCATTGTTGTTTGGCGGGTCCGGGCTGGGGATTCGAACCCGCCACCTTAGGTGTACGTGGCTGGCGCCTTAGCCGGTTGAGCTATAGGCGCCGAGCCAGGCCAACCTATTCTTGCAGAAAATTCTTCTCACTGATAGAGAAAGCGCCCAGAACTCAGGATGACCACTTCGCAGACAGGCTTCCTAAACTTAAAACCTGGGACACACATGCTCAGTGCTGCTCCTTTAGGAGAACCACTGGCACAAGCCGTGGGTGCCTGCACACAGTAGCAGCACAGAGAGGCCCAGAGCAGTCACAGGCAGACGGATGTGCCGGGGACACACACATGCAAAGACAAAACAGGGCTCCTGCAGAAAACCTGAGTTGGCAACACTGACCCAGAACTTTGGTAGTTTGTCTTGGGGCTGGGAAAAGAGGACAGAGAGAAAAAAACTATTTAAACTATTTAAAGATAGTTAAATAGTTAGGGGATAGGCCAGGCACTCCTCTGCTGGGCAATACTGGCTCCCTAATGGCTTTGCCGAGACTTTCTTAGCACCACACCGCAGAATTCTTTTCCTGTCCACCATCCCTTTCCGATTCCTCAGGGATGGCTCTGCCAGCATCCTCCTGCTTCCGCCCCACTTTCCCTTGCAGGTGTTTCCCCCAATAAACCTCTTCACTGTTACTCCTAGCTGAGCTTTTGTTTGTTGAAGGACTCAACCTAACACATATGGTATTCTTTTTCTTTCTATTCTAGTTATCTCTGCCTTTGTAACATTCTATTTGACCAACTGTCACTTCCAGAACGAAACAGAAAATGGGAAAGGTTCTGCTTGCTAAATGAGACAACATATATAAAGTAGCTCTCAGGTATTAGACACCTAATAAAGATACATGATTAAATAGTCTCCACTTGAATTAACCCAACCAACACGTATTAAGTAAGTGTGGCACCTTGCCGTGAGTGCTGGGATACAGACATAAAAACATGGTCTATACACAAAAAAGCTTAGACTTTCATAGGAAAGATAAGATATATTCACAAAAGCAAGTTTAAACGCAACTGAAATATAAAATGCTATGAGAATAGTAAGAGGAAGATTCCTCTCAGCTTGGGCAGGAAGAGAAGAAAGGAGAAGAGAGGGAAGGAAAGGTGAAGAGATTCGGCTCATCTTTGTGTAAGGCTTTGCACTTGAACCAGGCACCAAAGAGCAGGTAGGACAGCCAGCTGGGATGGAGGCGGTGGTCAGTGCAGGCACAAACAGCTTGAGCAAACGAAAAGAGAGAGGTCAGCAAGGGTGAGCCACATGTCCAACGGGGTTGTCAGTGTGGGTGGGAGTGTGTCTCCTGCACCACGGGAAGCCATTCACGGCTTGAGAACCGAACCTTCAGGGTTAATAATCCTGTGGCAAAGTGAAGAATGAACCAGAAGGGGAAGGCCTGTGGGTGGTTCTAAGGGAGAGTTAGTACAACATTGCAGAGAGGCCATTTAGTCACTGAATAAACATTTGAATGTCTGCGATGCTGGGTAAACAGGCTCTGATACCACAGTCTGGTCAGTGGGAGCATAAAGAACAGAGCAGAATGGTATGGGAGAATCACCAGGTCTTGGTGTCTGAAAAATTCACCTTTGTAGTTTACGATGGTGGCAGAGAAACAGCAGCCTTCAGTCGAGCTCTCCTAAGTATACACACTCACAAATTTTCCTGTGCCCTGTTTACAGTCAGGTTGGGTTACAGAGACTAAAGCAGCTTCTCTGTATCCAAAATACCTTTTGGTCACTTGCCAAACTAGCCTATACGCCACACTTTGCACTTGCTGCAAATTCTATGCCTACCCTATCTGGATAGGAATCATTTAGGTTTCCTTGTTTCCACTTTTAGCACATCTGGTATCTTTACTCAGCCTGAATGTGTCAACATGTCCCTAACCATTAGGGTCTCATTTATTAGAGGAGAGCAAAAAAATCCTCACAGCAAAGAGGAGAGTCCAACATTGCTTGTGCTCAGACAAAAATGTTTAGGACGAGAGGATAAAGCTGGCTACTGGATCCAGTTGATACATCATAATTTCTCTGCCTCCTAACAACATTGTATCACAACAGCCCAATAGACCACTTCTGCTGATAACTAAGAATACCCTATGTTTTCATCTCCTTAAGAACACAGGGGTTTGGGTACAATGGAATAGCTCCTCTGGGACTTTCTCCTCTATTTTGGAGAATCAAATTGCATACAACTGAATCCTAGTACATTTCTTCTTACGGGGCAAGAAACCAAGCCATGAAGCTAATTCTTGCTTTTCTCTGAGCTAAAGGCAATCGAGAGACAGCACAGAAAAGATACAGTTCACACCCAAATTGAATTCTTACCCAGGCAGTCCCCATTTGATTGCACTGTGCTTGGTCGTGCCTCACAGGTACTGTATTTTTACAAATTACAGGTCTGTGAACCCTGCAGTGGGCCAGTCTACAGGCCATCCTCCCACGGCATGTACTCACTTTGTGCCTGTGTTACATTCTGGTAATTCTTGCAATATGTCCAACGTTTTCATTATTATTACATCTGTTATGGTGATGTGTGATCAGTGATCTCTGATGTTACTTTTATAATTATTTGGGGGTGCCACAAACTGTGCCCATGTAAGACAGTGAACTTAACCATCAATTGTGTCTACTCCTAACTGCTCCACTAACTGACCATTCTCCTGTCTCTCTCCTTCTCCTCAGGACACCCTATTCTGAGACACAACAATACCAAAATTAGGCCGGTTAATAACTCTACATTGGCCTCTAAGTGTTCAAGTGAAAGGAAGAGTCACATGTTTCTCACTTTGAATCAAAAGCTAGAAATGATTAAGTTTAGTGAGGAAGGCATGTCAAAAGTCAAGACGGGCTGAAAGCTAGGCCTCTCGTACCATCCAGCCAAGTTGTAAACGCAAAGGAAAAGTTCTTGAAGGGAATTAAACGTGCTACTCCAGTGAACACACAAAGGATGAGAAAGGAAAACAGCCTTATTGCTGATATGGAAAAAGTTCCAGTGGTCCAGGTAGAAGATCAAACCAACCACATATTCCCTTAAGCCAAAGCCTAATCCAGAGAAAGGCCCTAACTCTTCAATTTTATGAAGGCTGAGAGAGATGAGGAAGCAGAGGAAGAAAAATCGGAAGCTAGCAGAGGCTGGCCCATGAGCTTTAAGGAAAAAAGCATCTCTATAACATAAAAGTTCACGGTGAAGCGGCAAGTGCTGGTGGAGAAACTGCGCAAGTTATCTGGAAGATCTAGCTGAGATAACCGGTGAAGGTGGCTACACTAAACA